CCTGTACGTGAGACCTTCACTTTTTTATCACTGTTCGTAGCTAGATCCGTAGAGGGAAACGGCCCACACCTACAAATTCCCGACCTGCAACAAAGAGGCGAGGCGGCAGGCTCCGGGATGCGATCACACCTCGAACGCCTTTCTGCCAACTCAGAAAGGCATGGCCAGGGAAGTTTCGACATTCTTGTGCGTCACGAGTTCACTTGCAATGGTGCAGGATACAAACGCACCGAAGCGCAACATCTACTTTCCCCGAACCGGCCAACGAAACGCAGGACGGCACGTGGAGGGGAGCTTAACTCACGGGGTAGAGCCGAGGCGTTTGTCGTCATCGTGTGCGTCTCTGACGACCACCACGCCACAGGCCCAAGGTACGGGCAGAGTTTCCGCATTACTGTCGTGTACTTTCCTGCATTGAACCAGCTCATTCTGAGTTGTCCTTGGCCATGCCAGTCATTACACTAAAAACCAGTACAGTGTGCATAGTCTAGAAACACTACACCCGGCACATGTACAGTCATGTGCATGCACACACGTCCAGCGCTGAGCAGTTTCTCTGCAGAACCACGACCGGGAAGCCGGGAAAGTCGCAGGGCGCGTCACAAGACGAATGACACCGGGCATGACACATCGTCAATGATAGGATTCCTATTCCATGGACTCCATCAAAGTCGATGGCCTGACACGACAGACTGAAGATGATCGTCACCTGACAACTGACGTCTTTTACCCTTGCAAAGTGACTTCGATCATCCATACATGATCCATTGCATGCACGATGTTTCATTTCGGCCAAGGCAAGGGCTCCCTGAGGAGCTAACCGAACGCGTTGTGCGAGTACAAGTACACATGTACATGTTGAAAATGAAGCACGAAGCCGCGTTACAAAAAAAACGCGCGACGCACATTCGCGTTGTCACCGCACATACGCGCAGTTCAAATGCAATGTAGGCCTTGACGGATTATGCTAGCATAATTTTTCGCATAATTCCTACCAAAATCGAATAATCGCATAATTCGAGGCAAATTGCATACGAATCGCATAAAATTGGAATAATCCGCCTGTTCGCATCAAATTCCATACAGTTGTACATGTTCTTCAAGTACAAGTAGATGCACTAGGAAGTTAGTTGTAGGTTTACGACTCCCTTGATAACATGTCCAGTCCACTACAATCAGTGATGGTCGTAGCTACATGTAGGTCGGACGGTGTGTTGAGCCCGTTGAACTTTTGCTACTACAGTACAATGCCCTCTACAAAAATTCCCTTGTTATTTTGCACAGAATCATTAGCATGTAGCAGCATAATATATTATGTGAGCATAATGCAGCATAATATGATAACTTTTAGCATAAAAATAGCATAATTCTGCAATTTTTTCAGCAATGCGAAAAGCATAATTTCACGAAAATATTAGCATAATCCGTCAAGGCCTAATGCAATGCAATGTAATGTTGTTTATCTTTGGCCAATATAGCTACAGGTTTGGAGTTGTTTCATAACTTTATTCTCGCGATGGCCTGTGGCCCAATGAGAGATAATAAACTGAGATGTACAAGACCTATTTACAGTAAAACCTGTCAAGGCGACCACTCGGATAAGGAGACCACCTGATCCAGAAGACCACTACAGCCAGGACCAAGGGAAGCTATATCCAGTCAAATGACCCTGGATAAGGAGACCACCTGGTAACAGAGACCACACTTTCGAAGTTCCCTTGCGCGGTCGTCTAGACAGGTTTCACTGTACATATACATGTACATCACGTAGAGGGTTTTCTGCTAGGGGTCAGGAGGTAATGCTCGGCTTTTCACTATTTAAAATGCTTTACATAATGCTTCTGTAATGAACTATAAAGAAGCTAGCGCTATTTTTCAAGTGGTATTTTTGTCAATGCTCTGCCCGCCAAAAGTGCCGGTTATAAGGACTTGCTTACTACCTTGTTAATCACCATTGTATTCGACCTGAAGAGTAATGGAATGAAAGGCCTAGTCGAAAAACAATTGTAGCTTCTGTGCTTCGTGTGCTGACTATAAAGAAGCATACATGTGTAATGCTCACAGAGTGCTCAGGGATAATTAGTATGACACATCAAACATGATTGCGGGATATAACATTCGAAAGATGATCGGAATCGTAATAGGATCGCAAAATGGCTAATAATTGTAAACGTATCCTGGACTCCTGGTGCAGTTACTTAGGAGCATTACAGTCACGCAGGGATAATGTCCTTAACCTCGAAATTTAAAATCCCATGTGATGCTCAATATACCGGTACGGGTATACATCTAATGCCGGCATTACCCACTGACCCCTATTTTCAACTCTCGATTATACATGTACATGCATGTACTCAATGATGCAAACAGCCAGACTGTTTCGGCCAATGAATGTATGTATGTATGTATGTATGTATGTATGTATGTATGTATGTATGTATGTATGTATGTATGTATGTATGTATGTATGTATGTATACGCCCGTCGCAAGAGAAGCACGAAAATCTGCAAATGCACTGGATGTGCACCAACCGATGTTCTCTTATACATGTACATGTACATGTACGTACTTCATGATTAGCAGGCAAGTGCGCACACTAGGCCCCAGTATGGTGTTCGGGTGAGCGTGGCTCGTGCACGAGCAGATTATAGGGATGACGTGTCATGACTAAAACGGAGTTGGTGATACATGTATACTACCGCGAAACGTTGATGGGAGGCAATTGAAATCAGGGAGATAGTTATACAGAGGGAGCGGTCGAAATAATTGCAGTGATTGAGTATGAGGCATGAGGTATGAGGCTTATTTTTATTTATCGCCGTGGTTGGCAATCACCCACTAGTGTACTCTCTTAACATTGGCCGGTGTTTCCACCGAGTCTTGAGATGTTGTAATAAAAATAAAATTAAAATAAATAATGTTGCTCACAACTCATTACAAATGAAGCTACATGTAGTGATGAGTCCTACGGGATTCTAGAAAAAAGCTATATTGAGATGCTTGAACTACTTGAACTCTCTGTTGACGTTCAATGGGAGTTTGCATCTAAACTTTATAAAGGTGGTATAACATACGTGGACATGTCAGGAGGTCGCAAAACAAACTATTACTCTGCAATTCATAGGTCTGTGGGAAACACCCTAGTAAAATAAAAGTTAATAATAATAATAATAATAATAATTGAGGCCAGTCTTTTACTACCACCTGTGTGGAAGAAGGGCCGCATCATCGCAGGGATTTTGTGTGGATTTTTCAGATTGGGAGAGATAGTTGGGCTCGTAAACTACCAAGCACCATAGCCAGTATTGTATTGCCGATCAAAGGGTATGTACCGGCAAGTCCAGTCAAGAGTCAAGACTACAGCACTGCACTATCGTCACTCCAATGACGGACGCTGTGGCGGCAGCATGCTAGCACTTCAATCCACACGCACACACACAGTGACACACTGCCGCAGTATGCAGCTTAGCAGTGACATAGCACGCAGGTAATGGTTGCTGCGAAACCTCATGGATCTGATGACGTACGCAAGATCCTCATCATCAGCTTCACCTATTCAGTATTCGCTAGTTTCGTTTTCTGCAGCAGCTCACCAGATCTTCAGTAGGTACGGGTCATCGACATTCGGTAGAGTCGAGTCTAGCGAGCTGTTGTACTCCCTAGTGAGTGCAGAGAGTCGGGCTCACGCGGTGATTACAGTCACACCCCTGTTCGGTAGGTTCCCCATGTCTCACCCCCCAACGCCCAAGACGAAGTACACACAGTCCAGCCTCAGTGGCCGACGGGAAAAACACTACTAGTATAGTACCGAGTAGTATACTGTTCAATGTGTTGATCGCCATGCAGTATCTTTTCCAAATCCATAACTTCCACGTGTGTTTTCGCGCAATCAAGAGCGGACGAAAAGGGCGATAACAGTAGCTAGCGACGGAGCACGGCTGTTTCACATGTGTGAAAGGTTTACCTACATTGTAAGTCTTTTCGCAATTCGGATCGTGAGCCAATTAAATTATGATGAAAAAGGTCGGCGGAATAGTGTGGGGAGCAAACCCTTTCTTAAAAAGGTTCTTGTCAGTTTTATGCTATTTCGTCGCACTCGCTGGCTGTATAAGATCTGGTTACGTTGGTGGACAGTTAGTCATAACTCGCAACATTTTGTTCTTCTCCTTTTTCACCATAAGTCCTTCCTAGTACAATAATGAAACAGCCTGCTTTTTCTGCATGCTTTGATACAGGGGCCAATATTCTAGATCCAGTGGAGGTCAAGCACTGGCCAATGAAGTAACACTAACACGTTAGTTTCGCAGAAACCTAACAGCTAGCGTGCCACATTTTGTATTTTATTAATTTTGTATTTATGGATTCTCCACAGGCCTAATAGCCTAAATTGCATGTCATGATTGGAAGCTGTGGCCTTAGTAAAAAAATCGAGGGAGTCTCCGTGTTACTGCTGACTGAGTGGATCTAGCGGCAGTGGATGAGCTATCACACATACATTGTACACTACAGACTGCAGTCTAGAGTAGGTGTAGCACTCCAGTCTCCAATATTATTATTGGACGTGAGTAGCTCCATCATTCATGGCTGTGTAGACTGACGTGACACGTCGTTGCATGGCGCATTTGCAGTATGATGTGCGACCGAGTGGATATTACTCACACCTTCATAACACACACACACACACGCACACCTCAGACCTCAGACATGCCCATCGCGGAAGCGATGATAGCGAACAGCTATGTTAGACATAGCAACTTGTGCTGGGATTACACCATTCAACAGCTTACAAGGCTGATGAATTGACCGCCACTTTTTTCACGCACACACACACACACACACACAGCACAGCACAGCACAGACCATAATTATTATTATAGTCCCCTGGAAAGGTGCTAGCTAACGGCTGAGGGCGCGCAAAAAGGTGCGAGTTGTGAATGATGGCGGTGAATGATAGCGGGAGTAGATCGAATAGCACGCGGTAAACCCACACATAAGGAGCTCCAACGAGCTCCAGTGTTCTTTTTCTGAAGTTATGAGTTGGGGAATGCTTGAAAGTGCATCCTCTTCATAAAATTGACTACAACTTCTCTAGCACTACACATGCTGTACTGGCTGGCCGGTCAGGAAAAATAGTGTTTACCGCTTCAACGAAGTTCTTATATCAACCTCGGTTGTATGTACAATGTACTGGTAGCTGCTTGCCAACAACAACAAAAACACTTTTCGATATTAGCTTTGGGTGCTTGACGCTGTTGAGAGTTGGCTAGCGCCTCCCAAGGATGCCAGAGTTTGTCCTGCCGCGGCGGAGACCCCAGCACGGATTGGCGAAGACGAAGGTAATATTATTGTAATGCACATGGACATGTTTTGTGCTACAGTAAAACCTGTGACTACCGACCACCCCTTGGTGCCAGCAAAAGCGGTCTTTAGTAGCAGGTGGTCGTTAGTTAGAGGTTTGCACCGTGTGACCATATATACTAGTAGATCCCATCCTGTCCCTCCCATGCTTCTCCGTCTTGACCATTACTTTTCTTCTTTTATTCACCATTATTATTATTATTATTATTTATTATTTTAATTTATTATTATTATTATTTGAAACTGGGATGTTGAGCCATAAATAAATGTGGAAAAGAAAAGGACATAATTATGGATACGAGTTAAGAGTAACTCTCCATCACTGTAACATGATACTATATACAGTCAGTCAGTTATACAGTATACAGTCAGTCAGTTTTGTGCCTAGTTATTGCACTTTCTGACTGTATATAGTATCATGTTACAGTGATGGAGAGTTACTCTTAACTCGTATCCATATGTCCTTTTCTTTTCCACATTATTATTATTAAGCTTACGTGGAGATTCGTTTGTATGACTGGGGTGACAGAGCCGCTCAGTCTTCGTCTCTCCTCCGAGTAGTAACATCGAGCAGAGAGCGCTTTCGATGCGCTCTCCAAGACGTTTCATAATTACATGTATCATGTTTATTCTTGACAGCGCTTGAAATTCTGACAGGTGTATTGCAGTCCACACGGACTCCACAGTCAAAATGGCCTGCGTACATATTGTTCAGCTGTAGTACCGAAAGATTCCTTTCAGGACCATGGAAAATCAGCAAAATTTCAAGAAGGAGCTTCGAGCAACATTTGATTTCCTACATCGCGGTCGCTAGTTACGGGTCAAAAATCGTCTTTGGGACAAGAAAAGGCGGTCGCTGGTCGCGTTCAGCAGGTAGTCGCTAGTCACAGTGATTTTTGAATGTGAGACCGTCCGTGCCTGGCCAAGTGGTCGGTAGTACCAGGCTGGTCGCTAGTCACGGTGGTCTTTAGTTACAGGTTTTACTGTATTTTGTACTATTGACCGATGCTCAGTCGGCTACAATACGTGCTTGGACTAGCTACTACCAAAGAAGGTGCCGTATTATCAGGTTTTTTGCCAAGTGTTCGACACATTTTCAACACAAAGTTCTAAAAAAGAGCCAAACTCACAGAAGCACAATACAGGTACTGACAGGCCTGCACGTTAATGTAATAAGGCAATCAGCGGCATCTAATCCAGTAAAAGGAAGTGGCCACAGGGGAAGAAAAAAGTTATTTAAAAAAGAATGTTATTGAACTGTGCTGCTGTCCCAGCGCCGACAGAAGAACACAGTATCTCAAGCAACATTACACTACCTACTGTAGATTGTCGATACAGTAAAACCTGGTCTAAGCAACCACCCCACGGTGCAAGGAAAAGCGGTCGTTAAAGCCAGGTGGTCTTTAGAACCAGGTCCCACAGTGTCTGTGTGTTCGAAAATTTAATGGAAAATGGTCGTTAAAAGCAGGTGGTCGCTAAAACGAGAGGTCGCTTACACCAGGTTTTACTGTACAGTAAGATCGGGCGCCGAAGAACGCAGGGGCTCGAGCGCAGCCTAGGAAAGTTCGTAAATTTTTGATTCTAGCCAGACCGTTCTTATTCACACGCGCGCGGCGAGTCGAGTGACGTCATGACGTTTGTCATGTACATGTACATGACCATACGTACATGTAGTGCAATGTAGTAGTGGGTGTCGTAAATGGGAATGACTGTACATGTAGCAGTTACTGTTTACACGTGTACATGACATGTACTCACCTTCCATACATGTACAATGTAGATCTACGTACAATGTAGATCTAGTGTTCTTAAATCTGATAATTCTAGCCTGGACTGTTCTTAAATTTTGCCGGTTTTCCAGCCTGGGTGTTCTTCGGCGAGGTGTTCTTCGGCGCCCGATCTTACTGTACATGTTCGTAGACCCGGGTGCTCGAATCAGAAACGATTTGACAGGTGTGAAATTTCTCATCTGTAAATCTCAACAATGTCAGAATATACTTTTGGAGAGGCGCTAGAACAGGGAAGGGAGTCTGGCTTGACCCACTCAGCAGGAATTCAGAACCTCGGTGCGCTACAACACGAGCTACAGTACGCAGTAAAATGGTCGTATTTCCTTCGGATTTTTTATTTGAAAATTGGGTGCTCGAATCAGAAACAGCAAACTCGTCAGATCGTCTCCGATTCAAGCACATGGGTCTACCATCGTCTACGCTTGGTGTGGCAGTTGAGGGCAGGTAGTAGTAACTTACTACTTCGTTTTTGAGAGCAAGATGGTGAGTGGAGCCGCAGATTCAGCAGGTCTTTGGCAGCACCGTACAGGAGACCCACATCCTCGAATCAAGGACCCAGCAAAAAGTGGGTCGCGAGTATTTCAAAAACCGTTTACCGGGCAGCGCTGAAATTTGGCATATCGTTAGCAGGCCGTATGTTGATAGTATTTGTGAAAACTAAACGAAATCGGAACAAGTTTAGGTACAATTTCAGGGTGTTTCTGTTTTGGTACCCTGTGTCTCATTCGAGCACCCGGGTCTACGTATGATGGCGCAGCGCAAACCTCAAAATCTAACTGTAGACTACATTGGGAAATGGGGAAAGACCAAGCGAAGCGAGGCTCAACCGATGAGGCAGGAGCTCGAGACGCAGCACTCCTACTACTACTACTACTACTACTACTACTAGACTGAAGAGTGAAGTAGAAGAACCGCACACTGTATGCAGACCAACCGCACAAACCAAGCAGGGTGCAAAGTATGCAAACGCACACAGCTAAAATGGAAGTGAATCTCACACGGCTTCCACATTGCACATGCCACTGTAAAAACTGCTTTTTTTGCTTTTTTGGCCCCAGGGCCCGGGGCGGGTGGTCGGTTGTGACAGGTTTTACTCTATCTGTGTAAGTGCACGTTGGACCTCTCATTTGAACCTTTGACAAAGGTGCCGTTTTCACAAAGGCTGTGTGAAAACGGCATTTACATCTAGTACTAGTAGGTAGTAGGTACAAGAAGACAGTAGTCAGACTAGACGTCATGAAACTACTATCACGTGGGTCTAAGAACTACTACTAGTACTGAGTACTAGGCCTGGTAACCCGTACTTGGCCGTAGTTCGCATAGACGATGCAACCTCAGCAGTCGCTAGTGACGCATGTACCAGAAACGGGTCTTTGCACATCCACCAGTAACATAATTGATTAGCCCATCAAATTCGGCGTTTTGTACGAGGCCCTACCGAAGCTACATGTACGTGTTTTTACATGTTCTTACTTTAGCTTCCTTGGCAAATGTACTGGATGTGTACCCACAGATGTTCTCGCTCCACATATACTGGCATACACAGAGACATAGACAGCAATAGCGACAACACACAAAGTGAAGGGTAGTTGGCCGCAGCCAGATGTGACTCTTATGGCAACTTTAGAGAATCTGAATCTAAATGAACTGGATGAAGACTAGCACCATGTGAATTGACCCCCTGCATTCCTCATCTACGTCACACGGAGGACATCGCCAAGATGACAATGACTGTACTGTGTATTCCCAGCAGACCCTAAGACATGATGATAACTTTTGTGGTCTTTCGCAAATCCAAACGGGAATCTCTTCCCAATAACAAGGCAGCGAAGAGATAAGGTGTGTATGCACTGGAAGTGATAGTCAGCTGGAGATCAATAGTACGGATCCATTGTCAAACATTGCATTACTTGGCATTAGCTACAGTTTCAGGTATTTAGCAAGGACTACAACAGGTACAGTCATGAGCTAGTCAATGACCGATTGTGTATGGTATACATGTAGGTTCAGCTTTGAAGGTCTCCAGCGTTGAGCCGGATCGCACGGTGCGTACCCCACACTTGCTGGGGTAACCAGGGTAACCAGATCGACAGCACGCATGCGCCTACTACACTGGTGCATGTACTAGTACTAGTACGGTAGCTCAGTGTCGTCAACCATTTTAAAATTATTTAATTACATACAAGTAGCGTACATGACATAATAGTTGTATATACATGTAGCAGCAGTCGTTGACTACAGCACTGAACTCCACGCACACACGATACCACAGTCATGTTAGTCAACAGCCTCCTTTACGGGCAAAATAAACACAATGAATCATGTTTTCCCAAGTGTTCCAAAAAACTTCAACTCAAAGTTCTAGAAATAAAAAAGGCAAAAACACACAAAAACACGCAAAACAAAACCACAACAGCATAATCATGTATATACATGTACCTACTTAGATAAACAGCAGCGAGTTCAAGTCAATAATCCCGTCACTGATACAGCTCGTGCACGCTAAGACGGTACCCAGGCCTCTACCACTGCCAGCGCAGCAGAGGTATCACCCACTACACACACACACATACGCACACACACACACACACACACACACACATACGCACACACACACGCACACTTGTACTTGTACTTGCTCACTGCCAAATTGGTCACGTGGGGACACACACACACACACACAGTCATGTTAGCACACGACTGTACTACACGCGGGTACTTGTGTGGGTGGATCACACGACGAGGAAAGGTAGTGAACGGTAGTGAAAGGTAGAAAGAACACTACGCTTTCCAACTACGGACGTAGGATAGTTCGTAATCATTTCCAACTACGGACGTAGGATAGTTCGTCATCATGGTGGTCCGGTGTGCGAGTCTATACTACATGGTACTAAGCAGACCCAGACCAAACACTGGTTGATTACGTGTTCCACACGTCGTTGGGAAAGCCCAAGTAAAATAACAAAATACAATACAATACAACACGTCGCAGTGGCCTACGCACGTAGATCTACTGGTGACGGCATGATGTTGCACGATTTGGAGAGAGGGGATCTGTAGCTTGCCGATGATGAGACCAAGATGGAGAAATTCCGTCCATGGTGAGTCAAATAATGAAGTAGTAAATCGCGGACCGCCGCGTAGATTGGGGTCGCGGGGTCAGCACGCCTCAGCTTGTTACTTGGCGCATGGCGGGAACAAGTAGAATTATGGCCCTGGGAGTGGAAGGGTTTTAACTTTTTAAGTGCTAGCAGCTCCTCGAGTAATCAGCGGTCTTAACCTTTGAAAGGCCTTCGCGTAGTGCGTGCGAAGCTTACGTTGTCCACAAACTTCCTCTGAGTCCTCTCCCCCCCCCCACCCCGTAGACCTTCCCACTGCTACTGCTCTAACAAAAGAGTACAATAAATATTCATAATCATTGGCGCTGTGTCATGTGCGTGTATGTGTATGTGTTGAACTGCTGTAGGCTTAACGCGGCCGACGGATAAGAAAAAGCGGCTGCCAAGCGTGCCGCGTAAATGACAAGACGTACAAATCAGGCGCCAGGAACATGCCGTCAATGGACCGAAGCCTCAGGAAATTACGTGTCACCTCCATGAACCTAGCCGAGATGAGGTTGGGTACCGTGCAGTTGCATCTTACACGATTGTATAGGACTTGTGGCTTGATTAGAAAATGTGCGACCCACACACTTGATAGCATAAGTATGGCTAAAGCAGCGATCGGTCTACAGTACAGACCACTAAGCAGGTACAGTGTCTTATAATAATAATAAATTTTAGTGCAGTACTAATGTAGCGGACATGGAAATCCAGTCGATTGACCGGGGCCGGCACCCTCAGCGCGTAGAGCTACAGACCGCTGCGTGCAGTGTGTATGTTGATCCGATGCAATCAGCGCGCTGCATGCAACGCATAAACATCCAAGTGTGTACGCGCTTATCCACGGCTGCATGGCCAGCGCCCTGGGGCCGCTAGACGTGCGACCGGATTTCCATGTCCACGACAGTAGATGACTGTACTACTACTAAGGACAACTGTACATCTACTAAGCCCCGCAATCCTGCTGAGAAGACCTACTGACTACAAGTACTGTGCGACTAGCGACTCCAACCAGTCCAGGGAACGCAAAGCTAAAGAGTCGTACAGACTAGCATTACTCCGTGGTTCCGTCATCATTCTGTCATTCAACTGTGAGTAATCGCAGAGCAGCGCATAGGTCAGTACAGGGACAAAGGCAAATCGAGCTACGGCCAGTACGGGCACGGCCGAACATCGTAGCCTTGCCCGCTAGCCAGCACTGCAGTACTAGTACTACTGATAGATACAGCTCATCACTGACAGCACTCAGCAGCCAGTATTCACCGGGCCCGCTGGCTCACTGCTAGTACTAGTACCTACCATATCAAGGCTCCTGCTGCACAAGAATCTCTCAGTGTCCACAGTGGTTTCATCGAGAACGGATCGTTGATTCTCTAGCTCTGATACGTGTATGTGCGTTAGGTTTGCACTAACAGTCGAGATCTTTCTTGCTAGTGCAGTTGGTCTGCTTGAGTCCTTGTTTTCGCTCTTCTCTGACTACGCGACAATGGATCCGGCTATCGGTCTACATCCGAATGATCCGTTTGTTCCGATCGCGCTCTGGCACCAATTTCAAGTAGTCTGCCCAACCCCCTCACCGGCCACTACTCCAGTTCAGTATATGGCCAGTACCACCAGTCCCCACAGCACGAAGCCCGGAGATGGCGTCCAGTTGTCGGAGAAGGACATGAATCGGGCACAGGAGATCGCCGACGGGCTCAATGGGCAGACGCCGGCAATGGCCGCGCTGTTGGCCGTGTCTGAGATAGCCCGCGAGCAGCACTATGCCCAGTTCCCGTCTCCACCGGAGTCCGTGACCTCTGTGGAGGACAGTTCTCCCGTTGTTCAGTGCGCTATCGGCAAGACCCACGTCGACCCTGACGCCGACCCTACGTCGGATTATTTCACGGCCAGTGAGTACGCGGGCAGCATTGGGTCGCCCGGCCAAGCGACGTACAGCAAGGCAGCACGAAAACCTGGTCGGAGAAGGGCTGCCGAAGCTACGACCCACCACTGCACGGAGGCAGGGTGCAACAAAAAGTACAAGAAGAGGTCGCACCTGAACGCCCACATTCGGTCGCACACGGGTGAGAAGCCGTACCGCTGCGCCCAAGACGGGTGTACCAAGGCGTTCGCCAGGTCGGACGAGTTAACCCGTCACTCGCGCACTCACACGGGTGAGAAGAAGTACCCATGTACGTATCCGGGTTGCGACAAACGCTTTATGCGATCTGACCACCAGAAGAAACATGAAAAAACTCACACCCGCGGGCCAAGATTGGCAAGAAGAAGAAGCAGCCTGAAGGAGAGGGAAGCGAGCGCCCGTGCGGAACACTCCGACCAGCAATAATTGAAGGTGGGCTGGCTCCGAACACAACTACTTAATTAAAGTAATTTATCATTTAGCAAGCGTCTCACCGACATTATTAGCATTAGTAGTACAGGTTCGTTCCGCATTTCTCCAAACCAATAGTCGTTAGGCAGATCTAGCTACCACTGTGCATTGCCTATGCGCGTTTCATTCATTAGTTGCAGTGCTGGCTACATGTAGGCCGTTTGTGTTGTTTAGATTTGTGCCAGGACGCTGTTGAGATCCTCCCATTACTCCCACTGGACTATTTCTTCTGGATTCTTGAACCTTGACGAACCCCAGTCTGGACTGGGCCAATTCTGTTTTAGGAGTTTCGCACACAGCATTCCATGTCGCAGCTTCATTTGATTGCCTCTGTATATTTGCACGACCATGAGTAGCACAATAGCTCATTCCGCTCTAGACCTCTACTTCGCTTTTAACACCTTTCCATCGCACTGATTCACAGGCCTACAGCACACAGCACGCTTAGTTCATAATTATTCGTCCACTCCAGCCGCCGCGTCTAGATCACAGCATATCTCATATTGTGCGTTCTAATGAACTGATCTTTCTTTGAAGGGCGTTTAGTCGTTGTGTTGTGATTCGTGTTTGTTGTACGCGTCAGCAGTCGTGCGTGCTGCGTGGAACTAACCTCTAGGCTTTTCAACTTCGTAGTTTCACCATCAGCCGGTGTTGTACAGTTTGTGGAATATACATGTGACATACGCATGTAGATGTATTTCACTACTAATCGGTCGTATTGACTATTGGTTAGTTTGGTAAGGAAAGCTCCCTTCCCTGGTCCGGGAGTTTCAATGAAGTCCGCGTTTGGCCTTCACTGCGCACGTTCTTGTTTGGTTCGTGATATTCCGCGGACAGTGTACGTGGCGTGCATGGCTACAATGATTGTGATGAGTCGCCTTGGATTAGGTCTCCATTGTAGGTGTCCTGCTGGCGATACCGGCCATTGTTCTTTCTTTCTTAGGAGTTAGAGACACAGTACAATCAGTCATGCACATTATGTACACGTAGCTGCTTCTCGGTTGGCACGATGAACTTTGCAGACCTGCACTGTAATCTGTATGCACTGGTCTGGCTGGACACCACGACGCGTAGCAGACTCCAGACAGGACCAGGGTGCTAGCACGTACATGACTGTAGCTCTCCCGCACTTCCAGACCAGTGCAGACGACAGGCCTCTTTCACTGCAGTCTGCAGCGTCCTGGACTCGAACTCGGCGCCTTCACATCACATCACATCCCTGTGACATCAGTCCCTACGCACGATGACTGCATTGTGTAATGCGTGTTCTTGACACGTGTATGCAGCGGCCCGGACAGCCGCCAGTCGAGACAGCCGACACCAACACTGGCAACAGTCAACAACACGGAGAAGATCTTTGTCAACATCCCGAGATTCCAGCCTGCCGCGGGTCAGAGGACGCGATAAGCATACATGCCCAGTGCAAGGCAGCGCGCGCAGAGACTTTCCCTAATCCCACCCGGGCCTCTACAGCGGAGAAATGGCAGCTTTGTGTCACTTTAGTTTAGGGCGCGGGCGTGCGTCAAGTTGCTAAGAATAGTAGTCAGTCACTCTGTATGACTCTGAGTATGATTGTTACTAAGTCTTGTACTGTGCGAGTCTTGTACTGTGCGAGTCTTGTACTGTGCGAGTCTTGTACTGTGCGAGTCAATTCAAGACTTCAGAGTCTGGATGCACAGCCTAGGCTACATGTACATGATTGTGTAGTACGGCTCCATCAGCGAGTGGGCGCAGTGGCAGGGGATGGCCCATGGGGGCTGGCCCATTGCTGCCGGGGCGGTAAGCCTGCAGCCTGTAACTTAGCTCCCTGGCCAACCCACTCTGAGTCAGTGTCAATGTCAGTTAGGCATTGGCGGATAATGCTCGAAAAGGTGGCAGATTCTGCTGGAAAAGCAGTGAAATCAGCGGAACCATACAAACCTTATGCATAAGTTATGGCGGGCAATTCCTCGAATTCTGCTCCATTTCTTTATCCACATACCAAACATGCATGAAACATACCAGAAAAAGTACCGAATTCTGCCAATTTTTCTGTTGGCACTATCCGCAAAGGCCTAGTGTCAGTCAGGCTTTACGTACATTGTAAACCAGACTAGTCATAATAAATTGTGCATGATTGTACTGTGCTGCTCGATGAAATCCGGTCCTGTGACTGTGGGTCAGGTAACAGGTGTTCGCCTTGCCCCATTTCGTAGCCCAGTGTTCGCAGGTCCAGGGCTGCACAACGCCCGGTGGCGAGTACTGGAGTGACTCGATCGGATTTCATTGAGTGTTACTGTACCCGCGCAATGTTCAGTAAAACCTGGTGTAAGCGACCACCCCACGGTGCAAGGAAAAGCGGTCGTTAAAGCCAGGAGGTCTTTAGAACCAGGTCCCACAGTGTCTGTGTAGAACTGTCTGTGCATGGGGGAAATGGTCGTTAAAAGCAGGTGGTCGCTAAAACGAGAGGTCGCTTACACCAGGTTTTACTGTAGCTTCTTTGAAAGGGACAGACGAGTCAGCTGATATAAGCAAGAGTAACAAGAAAGCCTCGTTTACCCTTTATCCACCCATTGTTCGCATAATATAGGAACAAGAAGTAGGAAATGTATATTTAGTGGCCAAAAACGTTGATGGGTCGAGCTGATCAGGAAAATATCACAATAGAGTCGTTGCGCAATGTTCGCGAATCCAATCAAACCAACAATAGCAAGAGCAGCCCTGCTAACGTTATGTAGTCGCACATGAGTCATCCCCTCTAACTGTAACTATGGCCAAGAAAGCTGCTAGATCAGGGACCCCTCGGCCCTCGCTATTGTTGTTGTTGTAGCCCTTGGCGGATTATGCTGGCATAATATTTGGCATAATCTTGGGATTTCGTCAAAAAATTATGCTCCGGCATAATATGGATTCCAACGTGTAAGGTCGGCATAATCTTTCGGTTTAGACAAAAATTATGCTTAGGGGCATAATACAGCTTTGTCAGAAAACCTGCAGAGGTTTTTTTTAATACCCCAGTTACGACTCCTTGTCATAGCCCTTGGCGGATTATGCCGGCTTATCGCCTTCTTAGTATTTGACCCCACTAATTTCCCTGATACCTAAGCGGTCAAATATATCGCGTATTTGACTGCTTAGTCAAATACACGATATATTTGACT